GAAGCCGTGTTTGAATGCCCGCTCCTCATTTTTTAAAAAAAACTGTTCTGCAAGTTAAAAACAAGCTCAGAACTCTTATCACCTCACATGGCTGCATAGGTAGATTTGTTATTGCTACTGCAATATACTCAGAATGCTATGGACGGAGTTTGCAGGGCTCAGCCAAAATGCTCCACGAACCCACAGGCAACAGCTTACTGAACCAACTAGATTTTCTCAGCTTTTCTAATGAATGTAAGCTGCAATGTACCATCCTGAGTTAGACATGTTCAGGCAAACTAGTTCCTAGGAACCCTTTTAACACATGACAAAAGCCTCATGGACAATCTACCACAAGTAACTCCAGTCACATCAAGATGGGAAGTGTGCAACCATAAATTTTGGATGTTGCTTCTCATTATTTTATTCTTATTCTTCTTAGTTTGTTAAAAAAGATTCTGTTGAACTATTGGCAAGGATGAACAAACAGTGATGTGTGAAAATGGCAACAAAGACCAGTATCAGAAACACTCTTCATTCTTTCCCCCCTTGTAATTTGAAAAGTTGTTTTTACATCCAGTGGTTGAAAACAGGAGAGGGAGGGAATCGTGGTACAGGATGCACACACAAAACAGTAAAAATGCCCAATTTGAACTTTTTATCTCCCTCCCTCATTACAAAATAGCACATCTCTCCCCAAAAATAATGGATCTCTTGTGTTCTGCGTTTTATTTCCCGACCCTCAGAAGCAATCCTTGGAAATAAGGAATTTAATCTTGCTTTCAGGCCTCAGCGAGAAAACCAGGGTCTTCAAAAGCAAATATCTGTTTGATGCTGTTGTTGTTTGCAAAAGTTTCTAACAGAGCAGAAGCAGAGCTGCTGCAGAAATGAGCCACAAGACAAAGGGGGACGAGGCCGCTGGACATCCCAGGGTTGCTGCAGCCGCCACAAATGATTCCCAAGATGGGGTCAGAAAATGGTTGGGTGTTGTTGGGTTTTTTAAATCATCATCATCATCACCATTATAAAAACAAAAGATTGGGTGTATGTGAAGTGGATGTTTCCATTGGGGTCCAAAGTGACATGTATGATGACAGACACAGGAAAGGAACAAGGGCGGGGAAGGGATACAGGGGGAAAAGAAAGAGAGAAAGAGAGAAAAATAGGTAAAAGAAAAAAAACATCATAAATATAGAAAAAACAATAAGAATTTAAAAGACTTATTTAACTTAGTATAATTTTTTTAAAAAAATGTCCAAAAGGTTAGAAAAACAGAGCAGCAGCGGCAGCAGCAATGATAATGGTAAAGGTTTATATGGAAGCTGGCAGCGAGAAGAGGAATTTGGAGAGGATGGAGGGTTAGCGAGCAAATGAGACGGAAATCAACACTGTGACAGAGGATGCTTGGAGGACAAGGGAATGAGCTGGCAGTATTTGGCAAAGGAACACTTTCCAATGGGGATTTTCAATGCAAGAATAAACAAGCCCACTTCTACCTAATGCCCAGCCTGGCCAAGAAACTCGCCTCAACTTTGGGAATTGCCTCCGCCTTCCTAATCGCCCTTGGGTAGAACTCCATAAGCAGCTGCCCCAGGGAATCCTTGCTGGCAATAAAAACACCCACAACATCCAGAAATACTGGGGAAGAGATTGCAGCTTGTCTCCTAATAACCACTTGGGTCTCCCAAGAGAGGCACGTCTCAGACCTTACCTGGACTACAAACTTCTAACAAGTCAGCTGCTCCCATTTAAGAATACAGAATGTGGCCGACAGTACGTGCTGTTGGCATAGAGATTGGGACCTAGGGGTTTACCAAGGTGGAGGATGGGCACCACTGAACAAGGAGGGAGTTGAATCAAAGCAGCCTTTGCCAATTTGGTGCCTCCAGGAGTTTTAGGGTATAACTCCCATTAGTCCCAGCCAGAATTGCCATGCTTTCCCCAACCCCTCACCTCACTGCCAGCCCTGGACTTCCTTCCCCATGTGCCAATTGTGTCGGCATAATGTTGACTACAAATCCTCTGGGCAGAGAATGGTCTTGCCACATTCTGTATAGCACCATCTACACCACGCCAGAGCTAAATAAACCACACAACGGCAGCAGTGCCTCACACTCCATTAAAGGGAAGAAGAGGCCAGTCTTCTCTGGTCCCTCCCAGCTGATAATTTCTTGTGCACCTCTGCTAACCCTAAGGGCTACCAACTGCTTTTCACCCCTGCTTTATAAACTGTCACACTTTCCATTTGAACTTAAAACAGGTTATAAAATGGAGCTGAAATGGATTTTTTTTATTTTTAGCAAAATTTTGAAAGAATTTTCCAGCCAGAAAGCCAAATGCTTAAATTTCAGACTTAAACTTTGAAATTTGGCTGCCAGTTCTGTGACTCAGTTTTATGGCATTAATGCCAAATCTCAACCAGCCAATTCAATTCCCTTTTAAATACCGTATTTTTCGCTCTATAACACGCACCCAACCATAGCACGCACGTAGTTTTTAGAGGAGGAAAATCCATAGGCATGCCACCCGTAGGCATTTCCTCCATAACACGCACAGACATTTCCCCTTACTTTCTAGGAGAAAAAAAGTGAGTGTTATGGTGCAAAAAATACGGTACCTTTTTTCTTTTTCTTTTAGTGATCTGGATCCAACAATAATTTGGAATGTTTGGGGGCTGGGGTGGGAAAGGGGAAGTCAAACCAGGAAGATATAAATTCAAATTCTTGGAAACAAATTTGAATTGGAAAACGCGCTTGAGAACCAAACACCACCACTGCCCTACCCCAGAATTTGTTACAGCTCTGGCCATGAAATTTGTCCTTCAAAGAGTTGATGGTGTGGAACATTAGTTAGAGATGCTGGTGTGGCAAACGAGAACATCAGTCAGTTTAGTATGTTACTGAGTGTCTCTGCTTAGTTAGGCGTAATCTTTAGGTGGCAAATGACACTGTGTCCACCTCAACCCTTCCAAAAGTAAGAGGAGAAAAGGCAAAATGCAAAGATTACCACAAAGCCCAAGTAAAGCCTTCTTCTCCAAGGTGTCTCCATCACCCTTACCCAAAAATGGAGCTATATGCATGGAGGCACAGGGCTTGCCATGAACAGGGGGCGAAGTCTTTAGCCTTCTCTCTGTTGCTCATCAGGTTGATGAGTAAAATACACCACAAAAAATGGGGGAAACATCACTGATAGGCAAAAAAGAGTAAATATAGATGTATTCCAGGCACAATGGGATTTATTTGTGGGTGGGGAATCCTCCTTGGGGACATGCTTCTAGCAGCACTTGTTAAATTCAAGGGATACTGCAGTGATTCTAGTATCCCTTGCACTTGCCTGCTGCAGACATGTGCCCCTCCAGAAGGATTCTGCGCCCCCCAAATATGTCAGGCCTAGTATAAATCTATTTCTAGCTCCTAAAATGTTTTCCTCTTTTGCCCGTTACCTTCATGAGCCAACACAAAATGGATTAAACAAACGAAGCCAAATATAAACATGGTCTTAATTTGCGTCATGAGGTTCAGTTCTTCTTGGCACAATGTGTGATTAAGCTGCCTTGGCAAGAAATGTTGAATTTTAATTTTTTTCTTATTACCAAGTATAGAAAGCTTAGGCTAAGAGGTGTGTGGCAAGTGAATGAGTGATTTTCCTCCTTCTGCTCCGAGTCCACGGCTCACTACATTACTTTCCAAATAACAGCAGCATGTTGCAACGTGATTTCATAGCCCAACATTCAGGCAGCTGCTCTGCCCGTGGACTCGGTGTTCTGCATTTGCTGTGCAATCAATATCTCAATGTGCCAAAACAGTTATTTTTGAGACGCTGTTTGTTCAAGGTCTAAAATAGCAAGAGTTCTGTAGAGGTGAACAATTTCATGGTCACAATGGTACTTAATATCAAGTGTCACCAGTCTTTTTGCTAATCCCTAAGCTTGGTTTTGCCTGTGGTTGACATTTTAAGAAGGGGTGGTTAACCTGTGACTCTAGAAATGTTAAGATTCCATCAGCCCCAGCTAGTGTGGCCAATAGGAAAGGATAGGAGTTATAATCCAGTAACATCTGGGGCGGGGGCACAGGTTAACCACTCCTGCCAAGGCCTTCTTCAGCTGCTCCAAAGCTGCTAACTTTTCCTCCAGGCATTACTGGCTTGATATATGGTATGCATTAGAAAGACCGAGTTAAGCTTTTGATTTTTAATAATACCATAAAGTGCCTTATTTACTACATATCTTCTGTGGTTTCTCATTTGTGTAAACACACCTCTGTGTGGTAAAAAATCAAGCTAGAACGCTTTCTTTGAATATTAAGCTTGCATCTCCTTTGGATATATTTTGGGAAATAGCCGATATGAAAGAAAGCAAAAAATCGCATGTGAAAACTAAGAAGGAGAAAAGCTCACACTTCTTGAGCATCTCATCTGCTTAAGCTTCAATGCCAGGGATGCTCCTGTGGTATGAAGGGGTAAAAAATCCACAGGTACATTTGAACGACAGTCCCTGCTGATGTTGGTCCTCCCCATGTTGCTGCAACTCCAGCTTCCATCAGACTTAGCCAGCATGGCCAGTGGGCATGGATCATGGGTGTTGTAGCCCAGCAACATCTGAAGGTTTACAAGTCCCCCAGGCCTGCTTCACAGCACTGGCCATTGGAGGAAAGGAGAATCACATCGCCAGAAACAATGGCACGGGACCTGGATTTTGCCCTTTGCCTTGACGATGGGTTTGAAGATTTTCACCTGAGTGCCACGAGTTACAAGGAACTACCACTTCATGGACTTGGCGGGCAGGGGAAATGGTTAAACCAGTTGGACTGTACTATGGATCGACCTATTGTGTTTGGTATGTCCAAGGCTGAGTAATAAAGCTTTAGATGGGTAACCGGTTATGAGAATGGCTGTAAGCAAGCAAGTTGCTGAGGATTTTGGTGTTTTTTGGTTTTTAAAAAACTCAAGCACATTAAAGGATGTGGCGCTGTTGCATTAATTCCAAGCAGAAAACAATGGCGGGAAGCTGGTTGCTGCCATACCTGGGATGATGGTTGGCTGCGCTGAAGTCCTGAAGGCATAATGCGCAGGCTTGGATTTCCCTTGCTGGTTCTCCGCAATCACATAGACCTCGTATTCAGCGTTCCAGTCCAGAGCCTTGAGTATGACATGGTCACTGCTTGAAGGAAGACGCATCTCAGGTTTCCATTCAGCGGAATGCTTCTGCGGAAATGCAGCGTGGGTTGCGGGAATGGATAGAAAAGGCAGGGAGGGCAGTTTAGCAGTGAGCTGCTGTTTAGACAAGGCTATGATTTCTGAACACAAAAGAACATCTAGATCCAGACAAACGGTTTCTCTCCTCCTCTCCTCTCTGCCCTAAAGTAATGCCTTTGGCACACAAGTGGTAGGGATTTAGGGAGCCTAGGAAGATGCCTTATAGCTTCTGACTGGCCGAAAAACGATTCTGTCTTTTTTAGCGGGGAGAGGGTCTTTTTACCACTTGCCATCAAATAACGAGAAAAGAAAATATGTCTAAAAGTAACAAAAGGGGAAATAAAATTGTGCTGAAATTTTCACAGGTGGCGTGATGGGTTGGTCTTGTGCTTACCTCCCTTTTGAGGTGGCAGAGGAGTTTTGTGGGTCCCTTTCTTTCAGTGTATAAGTCACTGCTCTGGGGTCTGAATTCTACAGCCCCCTCGGGTACCTATACTTTCTGAAAACCCACAACGTTCTTGGCAGGGTTCTCCTGTAAGCACAGGAAAATGGGGAGACATCTCCCCATCCCACGTATCATGAACCACTGGCAGTCAAGGAGACTACAGAACACTGGAGAAATGTTTAATTGGAAGAAGAAGAAGAAACACCACCTTAAGCCACTTTCAAAAGACAAGGTAAGCTCAACCTTGCACTCATGGAAAGCCTGCTGCACTCAATGAAGTGCAATGGTGGGATGCTTCCCAGCAGAAAGATCCAAAATGATCCAAAGCTGGGGAGGAGGTGGGGTTGAGCCCGGCTGAGGTTCTGCTGGATCCAAAGCCAGTCTCACTGATGGCAGGTGACTCTATCAGGCTTGACCTGGACCTGATTGCTGTGTCATATTGCAGCTGGTGAAGGGATCAGGCCTGGTCACCCTGCCTCTCCCCCACCACACAGAAAAATATAAACATAAATACATTAGACAGTAAACAGAGTTGTACAACACATACCAACAACCCGCTTATGTCATGGGCTGGTTGGACATAGAGGTATAATGGGAGGAACCAGCTGGGGAACCACCAAGGGAAGCAGGCTCAGAGCCCGGGGTGAGACAACAATGGGTGGTCAGAGGGAGAAGACTGGGAAGAGGTAACAGGGCTTAGTGAGCTGAGAGCTGGTGGCAGAGAGAAGTCCAGAATCAGAGGCAGAAACTGAAGCAGGAGGGTGGTAGGAGAGAGGCTAAGACAGGCATAGGCAAACTGAGCCCTCCAGATGTTTTGAGACTACAATTCCCCTCATCCCTGACCACTGGTCCTGTTAGCTAGGGATGATGGGATTTGTAGTTCCAAAACATCTGGAGAACCGAGTTTGCCTATGCCCAGGCTAAGAGATAGAGACGAGTCAGGGCTGGTGCAAGAGCCATGGGTGTCTCCTCCTCCTGCTGCAACAAGCTCCCTTCTCCGCTTGTCTCCCAGAACCAGAAGAGGCATGAAAAGGGCAGAGGAGAGGTTGGCTGCACGCAGGTGCAGTCTCTGAGTGCTTGGGAAAAGCCCTGGAGAGGAGGGGACAGACAGCTGTGAAGAGGTGGGGACCTTCAGTCTCGGCAACTGAGTTTCTCAGAGTAAGACCACCAGGAATGAGCTGCTGTGCTCATTAGGCCTGACGCTCAACCAAGTCTTCAGAGATCGTGTTTCTGCTAATAAAGAGTTAACCCCAGCTTTGAGCTGTGTGATTACTGCCACTCCTGTGATGCCATAAGAGCAACAGAAAGTTTTGGCTACTTCCTCTTATAAAACACCTAATAAAAAACCCTCTAAAATATAAAATAACATAAAATGATGAATAACATACAGATACCATTAGCAAAATGTTAAAAACAGGTGCATGTAACTGAATTATATGCCTGGCAGGCATGCTGAAATGAAACAGTTTTTAGCAGTCATATGCAATAGTATAGCGAGGATGCCTGCCTAAAGTTAATAGGCAGGGAATTCCAAAGCAAAGGTGCTGCTACACTGAAAGGTCAACTCTCCAAAGAATCCGAATGGACATTATATGGTCCTCGTAGAAGTGCAAGTAGTTCCCCAGATCAAAGCAGCCGATTAGGCACATATGGGGTAAAGCAACCCTTCAAATAACATGGTCCCAAGCTGTTAGAGGTAGCCAAATTGGTGCCTGGGCCCCCAAAATGGAGAGAGCTACAACTCCCATCATCCCAGAAGATTGGCCACATTTGCTGGGGCTGATGGGATTTGTAGTCCACAACATCTGGAAGGCACCATGTTGGCTAGGCCTTGGGTCAGAAGAACCAAGGAAATGACTTTTAATTGAATAAAGATGTGTCCTGGATTAGCTTAGAAGCAAGATTTTTGTTCTAAAACAATCCTGTTTTTAACACAAGTATTTCTAAAGACTGCAGGTAGCAAGTGCCTGCTAAGACACATGTGTGTGTCATCTAAAAGCAAAAGCCTGCTTCAGAATGATATGCAAACTTACACAAATTTAGATTGACTGAAGTCATAGTGAATGAAAAATGTTTTTAATCACTTGACAGCCCAGGAAACAATTCATAAAACACTACGCAGAGCTTGCCCAGATGCCAGCGTCTTACTTACAACTCTGTATTTGATGAGATAGTGCCGAATGGGGGAGCCTCCATCATCTTGCTTGATGAGATTCACTTTAAAGGAGTTTCCATCTTCTCCCATCTGGCCTTCCAGCTTGGGTGCGCTGGGCTCACCTGCAAAAAATGGTACATTTCACATTTAACATCCTGTCAAGGATAAATGATTGGCTCAACTAACTACTGAAAGCATAAATGAAATCCCACAAGCATGAAATTCAAAATGGTTGCAGCTGTACGGCACACATTTCTTGTGTTCCTTCTGGGAGGACTTGTAGATTCAGAGTGCAGAATGCCAAACGTCTAAGTACTAACATGCTTAAATGCTTTCAACGAGGATTCTATATAGATTTGGAACCTATGGGGAACTTATCCCAGATTCTTTGACTTTTGGAAGGCAGTCACAAGCAGTTAGGTAGCTGCAGAACTGTCCCTCTTACCTAGTCGCCATAATGGGCAGATCATTTAGCACTCCAATTGGCCTACTTAACCATCCTGGATTTTTTTTCAGCTTAGCTACTACATGAAGTGATGTATGAAAATCCTATCTTGTACCCCAGATTGTAGCCATCCTTTGCTAGGATAACATTGTACTCTGCAAAACAGAGAAGGTCCTATCTGTTAATTTCAGTTTTGTTGTTTCTCATTTTTCTAGTCTTCCGTTCACATCAGTTTGTAACTTTTTAAAAAACAACAACAAAGGCCTCATGAAAGTTCATCAGCATTTTAGTGCAAATTTCTAATATACACATTTCTGGATGCAATTTTGCTGAATATACATTTTACAACAGTTCCCTCTAATATAATGAATTATAAATGCTATTTTCACTAATATATGCATTACTATGAACCCTTTACCCTAGTATATACATTCTGTACACATTACTTGGCCGAAGAAGTGCATTGCAAAATCTGAAGATGTGAAAATTTTGAAGGATGCCCGTGCATTGCTTTTCATGTTGTTTTGGGAAGGTCATATTAGGTAGGTTTGCTTTTAAATGTGAATGAACCAAAGTCTCCCCATTCCTACTGCAAATTCTCTCTCCTTGACTGACTCTCCTGGATTGCTTCTTGCCCACAGCTGCTTACTCATTAGAACTAACAAAAAGGAACAGAGGTATCTGACCCAACCAAGACTTGTTATCTGCCATGTTCTTAACAGTCATGCTCTCTCTCCCTCTCATCTGAAGAAGTGTGCACGCACACCAAAGCTTATACCCAGAACAAAACTTGGTCTCCAAGGTGCTACTGGACAATTTTTTAATTTTTTTCTACTGAGTCAGACCAACACGGCTACCTACCTGAACCCCTTTCATCCCACAATTTCTTCCATTTGGTCTGTGACTTCTAGGCACAGGTTCAAGAGGGCTGGGGGTTTTTGACCTGAGACTTTCCCCAGGAAAACTTACTATTTACTGCTAAATCAGAGCAAACACCAATCCACAGAAAAGCTGATTGATGTTTGCTCCAATTCAGCTGTGAACAGTCTGCTTTCCCAGGGAAGGTGATGGGACAAAAGAAAAAAAACACCTCTTGGATCCATGCCTAGAAGCCATGGAACTGTGGATGAGCCTTTACAAACACACACACACACACACACACACACACACACACACACACACACAGCCTGTTGTCTTCTTTTGGCTTTACAATATGGGCTCATCTACACAACCAACAAATAATAAAACTAGACTTGATTATAACATGTGGGGGAAAGGATACATTCCATAAGTTTGCTTATATGAAGGCTACAAAAGTGAGTACACAGGCAATGAGATTCTGACATCTCCAAATATTTAGAAGAATGTCAGAAAAAAGGGCCAAGGGTTCCATCCTGCCCTCTGTTGCTGCTGCTGCTGTTTTCTCCCTCTCACATCACACTAGAATTCAGAATCTTTCAATGAAGCCAATGAGCAACAGACTCAGGGCAGACAAAAAGCTATTGCTGTCATCTTCCGGCTTGCAATTTCCCACTAGGGCAGTTGGACTGACACCGTGGGCAACAAGATGCTAGGCTACATGGACCTTCGGCCTGATTCTGCAGGGTTGTTCTCAGGTTAATATAAGAAGGCAAAACACCGTAAATTATCAAAAGGTAGCTTCAATCTGGTTATAGTTATGGAGGGTCATTTCAATTAAGAGAAAGGTCTCCATGATACAAAAACGTTTCCCTTACATCATGGGTGTGGCCAAGTCAAAGAATGAAGGAGACTATGGACCTCTCTATTCTAGAGTTGCTGCTAAATGCCTTCCCCAGCTTAAGGTGTATTACGGGATTTGGATGTCAGAAGATTGTCAAGGCAACAGGGTTTTGATTAAAGCCTGGGAATTTCCTGAGGGCTCAGCACATCCCTAACGTTCACTGCCTCTGAAAACAAATAAGCAGATGGCTTGGGCCCTCAAAGTACCATGTACCTGAAGGTGCAAAGTGGAAGGTGATCATTTCTCTCCCGGTACTAAACAAATGTGATGCATACTTGCAGGTTTTGCACAGAAGGAAGCCAATAACAAAGCATGTATTGCCTTATATCATCTTTTGCCTTTAAAATGTCCTTGCCCTTCCTTCCTTCCTAACTTAAATATCCATGTTCTGGGGAGCACGGGCACTACAGCAGCAACAAATCAATCATGCTTCCATTAAGAGGCAAACGGCCTGAGCAAATGACAGGCCCCCTCCCCCCTCCCCTGGTTACTTCCAGTGCCCTTTCTCCCTCATTTCCCCTTAGTGCCATTCTTGCCACCTGTCATGCTGACTGTGCCACGGGGGAGGAGGGGGAGGAAGGTGAAATCCATAATTGACTAAGAGGCTCCCGCAATCCATCTTTTCTGTGGGAACTGATTTGTGCTCCCCCTTCTTTGGAAGGCAACTTGCTCTGACATGGATTTTGGTCCTTTGACAGCCACGGAGGGAGCAAATGACAGTAACAGAAGGGTGAGTGAATAGGCTGCTTTCTTTGGGTAGTGGTTATTGATCTGTTTCCCAGGAGGTGATGAACAATTAATCTTTTACCTGCTTAACAGGATCAAAGGCTTTGCCCTCAATAACCTTTCTTGGGATCTCAGAATTCACCTAGAGACTCTTTATAGATTAGGGTCCAGAGACTAGTTAACAAACTGGTACAGTACTAGGGTGTAAATCCAGGCCGGTTTGAAGTTACTTTTGACATGGCTTGCACATAAAAACCTTTCAGGTGGATCATGTCTTTTGCCTTTGGTCAACTGCAGGACATCTTGCCAAGCATATGACCCCAATGGCCAACACCCTACTCTTAGTTCCAAGTGTCTCGTATTTAAGTCAATGCCACAATAAGGTCCAACCGCTGAGAACAGATACATCCTCCACTAATTTGTATAGTCCTTCTTTGAAAGCTTAAGACAAATTCATGAAGGATAATCCTATTGAGACCAGTTTGGCATAGTATTCACTGGGAAGGCGGGAATTCTGTACTGATTTGCTATGGATGTTTGTATGGGATGCCAATAAAAGGTTTGATGATGATGAATACAGCCTCCATATTCAAAGGCAGAATACCTCTGAAGACCAAGACTTCCCAGAACTTCCTGTTCTACTCTCAGTGGTATTTTCAGGGAAAAGAAGCATTTTGATTCTATTCAGAATGTGGAAACAGAACTTCCCTTGTCCTCAATCTGAAGAAAATTCTACTGGCTGAGCAAGAAGGGGCTCAACTGATGTAACAAAGCTGTTGCTGAGTTTTTGCTCAAGTGCAACGCAGAAAGAATAAGGCTCCTTGGATAGAGAGACTGCTTCATCTTCAGATGCAGGTTTGCTGATGGCGGAAAAAGTAAACAAGGACACTCAGGAAATTCTGGGGAACCATCGACAAAAAGAAGTACTTCATTTCTACTACACTGCAGAACCCAAAGAAATACAGAAAGGGAAAGTGGCCCAATAAATATTTCTCTCTACCCGCCCCCACCCTAACAGCATACTAGCACTCAGCCAACGAAGCAGTCAGTATGTGGAGGAACTTAATCTATAAAACTATAATCTACCTATGAAACTCATTGAGACAGAATGCTGTGGTGGCCAATAGTGCAGGATCTTTAAAAAGGATTAAGAAAAATTCACAAGGTGAGGGCCTAGCAACATATTCAGGAGTAGATACTAGGGACCAAGATCTGATTGGTGAGTACTGGAAAAGATTGAAGTTTGGTCTGATCCAGCGGGTCAATTAATGGGCTTTCATCTGACAAAGAAATTTGACAAATCAGTTTTGCAACAGCCCTGATGCTGTTTGTTTAGGGTAAGTGTGGAGCCCAAGTGTCTTTTTCTTTCTTTTTTAATAAATGCAAAATGCATTAGGTCTATCTACAGCAGAGAGGTGGAACACTTTTGCTGGTTATAACTGCACCATTATTAGAAGAAGAGTTTGGATTTGATATCCCGCTTTATCACTACCCAAAGGAGTCTCAAAGCGGCTAACATTCTCCTTTCCCTTCCTCCCCCACAACAAACACTCTGTGAGGTGAGTGGGGCTGAGAGACTTCAAAGAAGTGTGACTAGCCCAAGGTCACCCAGCAGCTGCATGTGGAGGAGCGGAGACGCGAACCCGGTTCAGCAGATTACAAGTCTACCGCTCTTAACCACTACACCACACTGGCTCCATTATTATTATTATTATTATTATTATTATTATTATTATTATTATTATTATTATTATTTTAAATAACTTTTGTTGTGTTTAATTTCTCACTATCCAAACACCAAACCAGTCCTAACTCTGTAGAGACAGCTGAAGTCTTCAGAGAGAGAGGGAGAGAGAGAGGGAGAGAAAGATAATTTCCTTCAGCATTAATACATTCTGGAGCATAACCTAGCAAAAATGGTTTGATTAGGAAGTGTCCCAATTCATCCCTCAGGGTGCATGTGTGCATTCTTCAAAAAAAGAAAGGTAAAAAAACAAAACACCCTGCTCTCCCCACCCCTCATTCCGATAATGATTGGCGAGCAGAAGCAGCAGTGAGGTCTTGTATGATTAAAGCTCTGCTGCTTTTAGTGAAGTGTGCCTTGTATATATTTCCAATTCCATTAGGGTGCCTTATCAGGAATAATGGGAAATAAATTACTGCTGTCAAAATAAATGAACAAAAAAAAT